TTTTTTGAGTTGTTGTCTCTCACTGTCACCCAAGTTGGAGTGCAATGGCATGATCTCGGCTCACTGCAGCCTCTGCCTCTTGTGTTCAAGCAGTTCTCCTGCCCCAGCCTCCCAAGTAGCTGGGATTACAGGATAATTGTATTTTTAGTAGATAAGGGGTTTTACTATGTTGGCCAGCCTGGTCTTGAATTCCTGAACTAGTGATCCACATGCCTTGACCTCTCAAAGTACTGGGATTACAGGCATGAGCTACTGCACCCAGCCAAGTCAAACAGTTTTAAAATAAAAATTAAACATTTTTTTCTATCAAAATATTTTTTAAAAGGTAAGTTCTGATAGTATGGTACTAGTATAACACCAGATATAGATCAATGGAACTGTACTGAAAGAAACTCATATTTTTGGTTTGTTGATTTTTATCAGAGGTGCCAAGACCATTCAGTAGGGAAAGAAAGAATAGTCTTTTCAACAATGGTGCTTTATAAACTGGATATCCGAATGAAGTTGCGTCTCTTCCTCACACCACACCCAAAAATTAACTCAAAATGGACCTTAGAACCAAATGTAAGAGCCAAAATAATAAAACTCTTAGAAAGCACTAGGCAATGGTTTCTTAGATTAAGCACCAAAAACAGAACCACCAATGGAAAAAAAAAAAAAGAAAAAAAAGAAAAGATAAATTGGATAGTCATCAAAATTAAAAACTTAATGCTTCAAGGAACACCATCAAGAAAGTAAAAGAAACCCCACAAAATGGGAGTAAATATTTGCAAATCAAATTTCTTTTTCCTTTCTCTCTCTTTTTTTTTTTTTTTTTTTTTTGAGACAGTCCCACTCTGTCACCCAGGCTGGAGTACAGTGGCATGATCTCAGCTCACTGCAACCTCAACCTTCCAAGTTCAAGTGATTCTCCTGCCTCAGCCTCCCGAGTAGCTGGGATTGTAGGCATGTACCACCACAACTGGCTGTGTTTTGTATTTTCAGAACAGATGGGCTTTCACCATGTTGGTCAGGCTGGTCTTGAACCTTTGACCTCAAGTGATCTGTCTGCCTCCACCTCCCAAAGTGCTGGGATTATAGGCATGAGCCACCATACTTGGCTGAAATCAAATGTTTTATAAGACACATATCTTGAATATATAAAAGGCTCTTTACAGCTCAGTAGTAAAAGGTACAGATAACCCAATTTTAAAAACAGAGAAGAGATTTGAGTTTCTTTTAAAAGAATATACAAATGACAGTAGTGCATAACAAGATGTTTAACACCATTTAACCACAAGGGATAAGATCAAAACTATTACATGCTCCAGGATGACTAAAATAAAAAATGATAGACAAATAGAAAATGATAGATAATAACAAGTGTTGAGGATGTAGAGCAATCGGAACTCTCATACATTGCTGTTGGGAATGTAAAATGCTGCAGCAACTTTGGAAAACAGTTTGTAATTCCTTAAAATGTCAAGCATAGGCCGGGCACGGTGGCTTACGCCTATAATCCCAGCACTTTGGGAGGCTGAGGCGGGCAGATCACGAGGTCAAGAGATCGAGACCATCCTGGCCAACATAGTGAAACCCCGTCTCTACTAAAATATAAAAAAAAATTAACTGGGCATGGTGGCGCGTGTCTGCGGTCCCAGCTAGGCTGAGGCAGGAGAATTGCTTGAACCCGGGAGGCGGAGGTTGCAGTGAGCCAAGATCGCACCACTGCACTCCAGCCTGGCGCCTGGCGACAAAGCGAGACTCTGTCTCAAAAAAAAAAAAAGTCAAGCATAGAACTATCATATAACCTAGTAATTCCATTCCTAGCTATATATGCAAGTGATATGAAAACATATTCCTCACAAAAACCTACACACAGGTGTTCATAACAGCATTATTTACAATAGCCAAAAAATGGAGACACCCCACATCTAGGAATGTCCATTACTTGGTGAGTGGATAAACAAAATATGGTAATTCCATACTATGAAATACTGTTTGGTCATAACAGGGATGACTGACACATCATGCGTCAACCTTGAAAATATTCATGAAAGAAGCCAGTCACAAAAGGCCACATATTGTGATTCCATGTATATGAAATGGCCAGATGTGGCAACTCATAGGCTATATATAATCTTTAGAGAAAGGAGGTAGATTAGTGTTTGCCTAGGGCCAGAGAGATCAGGGTAAATGAAGAATGATTGCTAATGCATATGTGGTTTTTTTTGGGGGTGATTGAAAATGTTCTAAAAGGGATTATTATTGTGGTTGCATAACTGCAGATGTACTAAAAATCATTATATTGTACACTTTAAAGAGGTAAATTTTATGGTATCTGAATTCTGTCTCAATAATGCTGTTGTTTTAAAAAGATAAAGTCTGAGATACCTGTCTCTTTCACGTTGTACTTGGGATTTATTATTCTAAACTTTTAATTCCGGACTTTGGTTAGAGTTGCTTTTCTAATTTTGTCCTCCTTACCCTATGAGTCATAACCTTCCTAATGCTTTACTGGCCTCTATCCTTATCCTAAGTCAGAACCTTCCTAGAGCTTTATAGATCTCCTAAATTTGTGTTTATGATTTTTTGGACAGTTCAGTCTCTGTTGTATCTTTCTTCTATTGAATTTCCTATTTTTTTCCCCTGAATTACTTAAAATAGCTTAGACTGTTCTCTCTGCTCTTAAATTGTTTATTTCTTCCTTTTTTCACCAAATTATAGGTACAGTAATCATCTATTATAATTACGTTTGTTTTTCTAAAATAAGTGTATAGAGTTTAATGATGGGGTTAGAGGGATCCAGTGAGGACCACATAGAAAATTATACTGTGTTTGTTGTTTCGTTTGCATTAAAGATACGAAGTTATGAATTTATCCTTTATAAAATTTTGAGCAGGTGACTAAAATATTTTTAATAAATACCAAACAAAAGTCAGGTGTTAATTTTACTGAACGTTAGTAAAGTGGGAAGCATTAGAAGGAAAGAGTGAGAAGAGAGAGTAGAACTATCATAGGAAGAGTATATAGAATAACTGGAGAGCTGGCAGCAAGATAAGTGCTGTAAGGTAATCATCTCCTCTGTATGTCTTTCTTAGCCCAATCCAGTCCCAAAAGATCTTTGGGTGATACCTTCTACTCTGACCCCTTTCTTCTTCCTTTCCATTCCCCTCCTCTCTCCCATATTCCTATGATGTTTGCCTACTATTTCATTTGACCCCTCTTCCGCTAAAGCTGCTTACATCTCCATTCCTGTCTCCATGTATTATCTGCCTTACCTTAATTCCTTGCCAACCCGCTTCTCTTTCGAAGTTTTCTGTCCTGAATTTTGTACTGCTATTCTCCTGATCTATAGCTGAGTGTTAATCTTATGCCCTTTCATGTCTTACTCTTATTTTTTTCAAACAACTCTCTTCTAAATCCTCTCTCTCTTTTTTCTTTTTTTTTGAGACAAAATCTCCGTCTGTCACCCAGACCGGAGTGTGCACTAGTAGGATCTAGGCTCACTGCAACTTCTGCCTCCCAGTTTCAAGCAATTCTTGTTCCTCAGCTTCCCTAGTAGCTGGGACTACAAGTGTGTGCCACCACGCCTGGCTGATTTTTGTATTTCTGTGTTTTTAGTAGGGATGTGTGTTTTGCCATGTTGGCCAGGCTGGTCTTGAACTCCTGAGTGTAGGTGATCTGCCCTGCTCGGCCTCCCAAAGTGCTGGGATTATAGTCATGAGCCTTCGCACCTGGCCTCCTTTCTGAGGTTCCAGCTTCTAATTCCAATGCTTCCTTATATCTCATGTCCGTCTCTTATCTCTGGGCAACCTGCTTGGTGTGTGTCCAACCCTCCAGAAAATTCTACCCTGTAGGATAAAGGGACCTGTGTCTTCGGACTGAAAAGCTTTCAGATACGTAAATAGTTGTATTTGTTGAATTTATTGGAAGTAGGAGGTGATGTTAAGGTTCAGAAACCCTATTATAATTAATTCTTCTGAGATTTCAAATTTTAAAAAGCATTTAGTTCTTACTGAAATAAGCCAGTGATTTATTTCAGAAAGTATCTATATCTTTAATTTACTGGTAAGAAATGACCGCCATGAGGATCAAGGCTTAAGTAAGGTTTTAGGAAATGAAATTGTGACAGATACGTATATATAAGTCATAGGAGAACATTTGGCAACTAAAGGCAATATGACAGTGACCCTCCTCCCTTCCCCAATTCTCTAAGTTAAGAATTTAAGAATAAATCATAGCACAATATATTGGAAAGGGAAAGAAAAACTAAAAAAAAAAAATGCTGTCAGCATGATCCCATTTCACTCTGAAGAAAATTTGTATATGAATAGAAAAGTATCAGAAGGGATACAGTTAATAAATATGTTCTCTGATTTATAGAAATGTGTTTTTTTGTTCCTATTTATATTTCCTAATTTTCTTTTATAATGAATGTACATAACTTTCATAATAAACACATTTTTAACTAAGAAAAGTGATAGCATAAGTGTAGAAAGTGTAATTATCCTCAATAGAAAATTAGAAGCGCCAGTGGAATTGGTTTTGTATGAAAATAGTCATGTTAACAGGGACAGCATCAGACTGTCAGTGATATGAGCTGTCTTTTTAGTTTTTTATATTTTATATTTCATTGTTTTTATGTTTGCCTTAAGTTACTTTGGCATGACTTTAAAAGATGCCTTGGTTACTGAGTATACTTATGAGGTTGGAACTAGAATATTTTTGATAGATTTGGAGAAATAATTTTATGATGAATGATGAGAAATTGCTTTGTGTAAAAATTGTCTTTTCACCTGCAAGTATGCAGAGTCCTGCCTATATTTGACTTCTTTCAACTGAAGAGATAACGGGTTTTGTGTCGCCTTTTAGTAAGTGAGTTAATTGTGAAAGAGAGTTGTATAGAAAAGTAGCTCAATCCCTACAATTGTTTTTTCTAAGGGAATGGTGAAGGAAATTGTTTCTATTTAATCTATATGTAAAAAAAAAAACAAACACAATTTATTCTTTATTCCCAGATTAGAAATGATATTTGCCAAATTTGATGAAGTGCAAAGTTCAGGCGGTATGATTTTGAGTGTCTGCAAAGGTAAGAGTAATTAAGCTCTCAAACACTTCTAAGAATATTTAACAAAATTTTAGAAACTAAAATGTGTTTTCAGGTCAACGATTATATCACTGATTCAAAAGAGTTGATTTTGTGGCTTGAAAACTTAGTTGAGATATAATAACAAAATCTTAACATCCTGCTGATAATTATCCTCTGATTGTTTTGGTGTGAGTGAAAATGTAATAGTGGGTCAATTGTGTAATACGATGGTGCTCTTTTTTTTTTTGTGATACTGCCTTATTATTTGTGTCTTCTGGGTCGAGATATGATGACCCTCTTGCCTTCCATTTTCCATGCATAAAATGTATTTTTATACCTACAATAATTATTTTTCTTAGTTGTCTTTAATAGAAATTGTGGGGTTGATGGGTTCTATTATATCTGTGTGCAGACTATCATGGGTGATAATGATGAAGAGGCTCATGCATAGGAAATTGACTAGCATAAATTGCCTTGGGCTTCTTAAGTAAAATGAGACCAAATTGGACTTTAGGGAGGTTTGGAGTTGATATCTGGTACTTACTTGATTTTTGTGGTTCGTCTCCTTTTTGTGAAGTTGATAAATTATGTTTAGCTTTGTTGGGTAGCATTTACCTACACTTGAGACTTTAAATATTAGTTAGCCTCATATGTAAAGAATATATTTCCAAAGATAGTATCAGTTGTTTTTCCACCTAGTAAAGTAGCTTCATATTAAAGAGAGTGTGATTAACTTAGTAATATAAATAATGTTGGAGTAAAAATTTAGTGTGTGAATTTATAGTCAAATAATAGGAAAACTAGTTACTAATACAATTTAGTTACTGTTCTTTGGGGTAAACCAAGACAATGATATGTTGCAGGAAGTCAGATGGAATAAGTGAGCGTTAGAAAGATTTTGTTTACGCACATCTAAACTTAGTTCCAGAAGCATAAATTGACTTCAGTGCTACCAGTCCTTACCTTGAATGCCAGAAGTTTCTCACTTCTCTTCTCTGAATAGAAAGTGTCTTAAGTATCTCCTTCTTATTTTTCTAGCAGTTACCTCTGTCGATTTCTACAGAAATCAGAAACAGTAGGAAGAGATTAGTTGTACACAAGATCCCTGAACTTGAGTGTTTTCATAACATGATCATTTGTGTATTTCAGACTAAGTAGTTACAACTCTAAGGAAAAAAAGTAGAATACTTGTAAAATCTAAGGTATTCATTGTTTAAGTATGGTTTATTTGGAAAGCATTGTTATTCTTGTATTTTGTGGCATTATTTCTGCTACCTTCAAAATAGTTTTGTTTGTTTGCTTTTGAGATACAGTCTCACTCTGTCGCCAGGCTGGAGTGCAGTGGCGCAACTCGGCTCTCTGCAACCTCTGCCTCCCGAATTCAAGCGATTCTCCTGCCTCAGTCTCTCGAGTAACTGGGACTGCAAGCGCGTGCCACCACGCCCACCTAATTTTTTGTATTTTAACTAGAGACGGGGTTTCACCATGTTGGCCAGGATGGTCCCCATCTCTTGACCTTATGATCTGCCCACCTTAGCCTCCCAAAGTACTGGGATTACAGGCGTGAGCCACTGTGCGTAGCCCAAGTTTTTTAATTTTTCATTCTTTAGTTCCCATTCCTTTATCACTCCATAAACGGAGGTTTGGAGTTAGTCTCTGGCATTTACTTTTTTTGAAGAAGACTTCAAAGATTGTTTGCATTGACGATTACAGTCTGAATATTGCAAGTATGGTCAAATGTGAAAGTTAAAGTCTATATTGGTTATAATGTTTTTGAGGATAATATTATGCTGTCATTGAAAAAATCCTTAATGAAGTAATTAACAAGAGAGGATGCTAGAAGAAGGAAACCTATTTATCGTGTTGGCAAATACTAGGGCCCAGGTCTCCTCTTCCCTGTTTTTATTCTCTCAGTGATCTAACCCTGCTCAAATGCTTTAAATGATAACTCTTTGCTAATGATTCCCAATGCGTAGTTCTAGCTATTGTTCATCTCGCTTTTGGGTTAGATCTAGACTTGGTATCCTGTGGCCTTGATGACATTCCCATTTGGCTGCCTAACAGGCATTTCAGGCTTACTATATCCAAAAATGAAACCCTGTTGTCTCTTTTTGCCCCTCAGATCTATTCCTTTTCCAGTCTTAGCCATTTTAGTCAGTGGCACCATTATCAGCTCAAGCTGGAAACCTAACGTGATTTCCTATTCTAACTGATTAAATATTTCTACTTCTGAAATACTAAACATATCCCAAAGTTGCTTATTCTTTTGTCTCTACTGCTAATATCCTACCCTAAATCTTCTTTAGCTTTTACCTGAAGTACTTCAATAGACCTCTGTTCCACATTTGCCCCCAGGAATATATTTGCTACTCAGAAATCATAGGAATCTTCTTAAAGTGTAAATTAGATCATGTCACAGCAGGAAAAAGATAATGAAATTTCTCCTCTTAAGGATCCTATAATCTAGGGATGGAAATAGATCATAAACAAGTAAACAAATGAATATACAATGTAGTTACAGTTGGTAGTGAAGGAAATATAACTACTCCTTGTTTAATAAATTTAAATTATTCCTAAATACCCTGCTGCCAAGTGAAAGACCATTAGATGAAAAAATTATTTTCACCAGTATCAATGAGAAAAATTATGGTGTGTTTCATCCCAGCCCGTGATACTTGAGTAGTTTTCTCAGGTGGAAAAATATGTCAATTAAATACTGAAAACAAATTTTTGTAAGTAAAAATTTAAAGGCACATTATACATAAACTAATATGGAATTTAATTCAACTTCTTTATTTCTGGACAGTTTTTCCTCACAAAATTTTCAGGCCTTTGTTGATTCATTTTTATTGCACACTAAAACTGTAAATAAAGTTATAGAAACATGAAAACATCTTAGGACAGGGTAAAGTCTCAACATGAAATGTTGTGAAAATAGTTCATGCATACAAAGAGCTATTGAAGATACCACATTTTCTCTCCCTCACTTGGTGTATTTATGCAAAAAAGATTGTTTTGGGTCTCTCCAAACATGGCACACAATTTAGATTTGTTCCACATGATATTCTGTAACCAGAAACTATTATGGTAAATAAGATTTTTTAGTGTGTCTTTACCTTAAATCATAATAGTGAGACATCACACATCTTACAGCATATTGATTTAGAGTGTTTTGTGTGAAAAAAATTATTTTATTAAATACAAGAACCCGAAAGATTCATTATAAAGGTGGTATAACTTTTTTATAGCTAAAAGTCATCTGAAGAGCCATTAAGTTAGGTAAATAGAGTATTGAGTGGTAAATAACTCAGTGATGTCATTTTAGATAGAACAGTGGGATGGGCCTCTTTAAGAGGTGACATATTTTAATTGAGACCTGGTAAATGAGAATTGAGACCTGATAAATGAGAATGAGCCAGTCATGGGATAAATGGTTGGTAAACACTTTGGGTAGAGAAGATTGACCATAAAAACCCAAAGGTCGAAAAGGACTTGTATTTTTGAAGAACAGAAGGAAGTATAGGGCTGCTTGGAGCCCAGTGAGACTGGTAGTGGGTTGGAGGGAAGAACCAGTGTGAGAGATAATTGGAGAAGTGAGTAGGAACCATAGCATCAGGGCCTTGTCCCCTGTAGGAGGAGTTTTGATGGACTCCTAGGAGTAGGAAATCTCTAAAGAGTTTTAGGCTAGAGAGAAATAAGGTAAGCTGGAAAGACATTGCCTAACACTATCTTTTTTACATTTATTGTTCAGAGAAATAGTCTCTTTATTTTTTCTCTTTATTCTACCTCTTCTCTCCTGCATGTTCAAATGCATAACTTTTACATCTCATACTTTTGTCTCTGATTTTTTTCATATTTGCCATTTCTATACTCCTTTAAGTTCTGATTGGATTCTTTGACATGATTTTCTAAAGCCCTAGTTCAGAACATTAATTCTATCAGAGGTTTGAGCATATCATTTAGTTGAAATAGAACACATTTTTTCATCTTGCTGGTGTTTTGAACTTAACTGGTTATGTTACAAAGGTACATTAGGCAGAGTCCTTAAGTGCAGTAGAATTAGTTCTGCTGTTAGAAGAAAACTGGATTTAAAATTTGTCAGATGGTGACTAGAAGGAGGGAACACCAGCCCTTTTAAAAGAAAAGACTGAAAGTTGGAGGCCCCCTGTGATTATAGCAGGCTCTGGTGTCGTTATGGAGCTTTCTAGACAATCTCCTGAGCAAACCAAGGATGTAAACACTAAGAGGGTTGGTGGTGGTTAACTGCAAATCTTCTCTTTCACTGTGAAAAAGCTATGCATAATTCTTATTTGTTGAGTGTGTGTTTAGCACCTATTGCAGTCTTGCCCATGCAATCATTGTAAAGTATTTTTTGGTTTCTCTGAAACAGCTGCTAGGAAAAGAATTGTCCTTGGAGGGTGGCAATAAAATAAAGCCTGGAAATTAAGCTTTGAAATTACCTTAATATTTGGCTTCTATGAGTCAATAAGATAACTTCCAGTCCAGTTTTATATATTTTTATAACATACCATTTGGTGAAAAGCAAGAAGCTCTTTTCTTTGGTTGATTTTTAAAATGTATCTGTTTGTGACTATGAGCCCCAGGGCCTTCTCGGAGCTTGACAATGTGCTGATGGTTGTGCAACTTGGATAGCGGGTGCTCTGCGCCCCTGCAGCTGCGCACTGGCTAGGTCTGTCTCCACCAGAAGCAAGCTTTGTTCCGTGTGGCCCTGCTGTCCACACACAGAGCAGCCTTTGATGGGCTGCCTTTGACGTGATTTGTTTACGGCAGCCAGAAATGCTTCCTGCATAATGAGAGCAGTTAATCGTGGAAATTGGGCTATTCCTGTTTGTGCCCTTCTAGCAATCTTCTGTTGTAAATATTAAAAGGTAACGACAAAAGGATGAAAACCTTTTTAAAAAGGCGCAAATCAGTTAATCCATCAGATCATGTGATTGCTACTGATTACATGGATATCTTTAGGGAAGCAGAAAATGATT